TATTTGTAAACAGGCCACACACACAACATATATAAAAATCTGTGGGCTTCAACAACTAAAGGCATTTCAAAATAGGCGTAACGAGCCAAATTTCTATGACAGCACAAACTGGAATGTGACCCCATGTCAGATAGTACAGTATTTAAGAACCAACAATGAAAACTAAACCAGACGTATGGATAAAGCAAAGACCCCATTCTACATCTCAACACCAGGCACAAGCAGTCAAAACATCCATAGAAACATCCACAGAAACATCCACAGAAACATCCAGATGGGCTGCACTTCAGAGTCAATGGGAGGCCTCTTTCCTTCCAAGCCAAAGCAAAAAAAACTGTGATAAATGGAGAAAGTCCCCCATGAAAGGAGACTCATCTTCATGCAGGCGAGAGGTAAAATATCACATTGAAAAACCAAGCTACATTAACAGTCCATCTAAAAATAATAACTTACTGTAATTAAAAACAGTATCAACAAAGTCAGCTTCCTCAAACTAGATCGAATTTCTCTGTGCGTCCATCTAACAATAGCGATTTTAGAAGCACATTACTGACTGCATCTGTGGTTTGAGGCCAAAGACAAGACAGCAGATGTTAGATTTCTACAAATGCATGAGTAAAAATAAACATCCACCTAGTCACGGGGGGGGGGGGCGTGTACGATCACTTCTGAAGCATTCAGGACGAATAATTACGGCGGCCAACAGCTTGGGGCAAAGTGCTCAACAGGTGCGACCGTCTTCGGAAATGTCGTTGCACGGTAAAATAGAACGCTGCACGTTTCTCGAGGGAGGTTTGAAAGCTTTCCACTTCAAAGAGGGGCCCTTATCACTGTATGTATTTAAGTGCACAAACTTTGTCATTTCCTGCTGTCCCTTTTAAAGAGTTCAGTGCCTCCCAGCTGAGGTGACACCAGGAAGGTGTTTGTCTACAAAGCAGCTGTAGTCTCTCTCTCTCTGTCTCTCTCACACACACACACACACACCAAACCTATTAAAAATACTTAGATAAACGAAGCCTTTCACTTTAACCTGACTGAGGTTATCGTTCCAAATTCCTAAGTGCCCGGATGACAGTTACTATTTCGTGAAAGTAAATCGTACTGCTTTTATCTTCAGAACATCACACTAACATTTCCTTGAACTGACTATGTGCTACTGATTCCAGATCAAGACTAAAAATATATCGATCTTTAACCCATTGTTTTTTTTTTCGTTGGTTTTGCCATCAAGTCACTGTCTAGCTTCTCACCCCGTTAGCACTCGCGGCGTGCGCACACACCCGCACAAACACCCGTTCTTTGGAAACAGGCTCCAGCTGTTTCGAGCATTTGAGGTTTCGTCGACGCAGCTAAGCTCCTATATTCAGCGTCACCCAAGGCCCAAGCTGGACCACGCCACTAATCTCTCAAGAAGGAGAAGGACTCGGGGTTTTTGTGGAACTTCTAGCTCCTCAGAAGCCCCTCCCAGAGCACATCGGTTTAATTATTTCATCTTGCACTTACACGGCGCTAAACAATCGCGAGCGGCTTTGCATCTCGATGCCGCTGTGAGTTACAAGCAGCTCTGGCACCAAGCGAAGACTGTTTTTTTTATTTTCCTTAGCGGACGGTAATCCGGGAATGGCTGCTTATCGTCCTCAGTCAGAGGACACAGAACTGAAAATCGACGGCATTCTGCTAGTAAAGACGGATTACTGGGACTAAGCCGGCGTTTCTGCTTTTGTTTACCGAGAGACCAAAGCCTTGTTCGACAAGCTACCGCCGGGTGACATCACAATGCGGGATGGCTCCCAATCCTGGGATGATCCGCATAAGGACAAACACTTAAAAAGCTCAAAGGTTTCTGCATAATTACGCGACGCTGACACAAGTACTGGGTAAAGCCGAAACAGACCCCTCCTCCAAACCCACCCCAAAAGTGTGTTCACCAAACAAAGCGAAACTCCTCTAAAATTCACGTCCCAACACACAAACTGCAATCAAATAAAGTTCTACTAACCCTAAGCTAATGCTAATCCGGGTAACATTTCTACGTGACCAATGCAAAACTAAATTTAAAATTTTTTTTAATTAAACGAAAGGCATTTTCAGCCATTATTCTAGTTCTGCTTAAGAATAAGTCAAAACAAAAACATGATACCACTGAAGTGAAAGAAAAAAAGTTTCCATGAAGGGTTTCGACCACTGTGTCAAAATGAATCTGAACGAGACGGCGAACCCACAACAGACAAAACGAGCATCATTGATCAATCAATTACCGACCTCCACCCTTTTTTTTTTTTTCTCAACCAGACGGCCTTATTTGTCAATGTATCGTTTGCCAGCATTGATGAACAAAATTTTCCTGCAGTCGCCGTCATCAAGAACTGAGATTCCCCCCCCCCACCCCCCCCACCACCTTCTTTTGCTGTAGCCAGATTTTTAAATATCCCACAAACACCTAGACAGGGCAGCAAACCATCCATCTAAAAGCGATATTGAGCAGCATAAAACTTGCATGAAGGCAACCTCTGAGCACCCGTCCAAACACTAAAGGATAAGGTGTGAAAGTGGCTTCTATAGTTGCCGACCTGGAGACAGAATGTGATGACTGAACCCTAAGCAGTAAGATTTTAACTCTCTCAAAGTAATTTTCCTTCTTTACATGGCAGCTTTTGAGCTACTGCTGGACTGCATGGTTACGATCCGGGTGCAAAGCGCTGTGAGGAAACATTAAACTTTATGCTCCTGAATATCAAAAAGGCAGCAGCGCGCCTCTACGTTTATAGAGGAAGAGGCTTGCCAAACTTGACGTAATTATAATAATCATAACGGCGGACTGCGTATTATTTACTTAGGTAATTTGAAGAGAAAGGGCTCTTGCTTAAATGATTAAAGAGTAACTTGGGAGCGCTGCTGCTCCATAAGGCTGGGATATTCATATAGGTGGAGTTAGGAGGCGCGGCTGTCTGTCTGCATGTGGACCCAGCTACGGGGGGGCCATCCTGACTCTCGGGGGGAGGGAAGGGAGAGGCCGCAAGGGGGCCTGCTGCAGGAGGGGGACTCGCGGGAACTGAGGGACCAGAGCAGGTCCGGGGGGGGGGGGAAAAAAAAAAAAACAGCAGCCTGAGGGTGGTTTGCTTCCGACCACCAGCCCCCACTCCAAGCCCAGGGCCCCCCCCCCCCACTTAACAAGCTTCTTCTGATCCCTTCAGAATGAAACGTTGTCTTCCAGTAATCCTGGGAGTTAACCCCCTCACCCCCCTTAAACACACACATACTTCAGAGACTACATTTTTCACTCCCTAAAACAATGACAATTCCATCAGTCTCCTCCCCATCTTCCCATATCGCCCCCCCCCCCTCTATTGCTGGAAAATCTGAATTCCGTTCCGTATCTCGAGGGCCAAAGCATTGCGGAGCATGGAAAAGCACATCCATCCCCACCCTCGGGGGAAGCGGCGACACCCCTGGGGTTCTTTCATTTGAATTACTGTTCAGAGTAATAAAATAATAAAATTCGTATGTTTGCAATTTACTTAATTGTAAAGGGATCTTGCCAGGTGCGCAACAATCCCAGCAGAAAATGATACCATCGCACTTATTACTACAAAACTGGAAAAATAATTCCTCTATTCCCCCTATCGAGTGCCTTACCATATGCTACCAAAATAAAGCAATTTTCTGATAAATGCTGGTTAAATAAATAAATATATATCAACCTGGGTTACAAGTGGCCAGCGAATTTTAAAAAACAAACAACAAAAAAAAAAACAAACAAAAAACACCAGACAGGCACAATGGATGACGAGGGGCTCACAGGCATCCTGCCATCCCAAGGAGAGCGGCGCTATGGCAACAGAAATTAAAAGAAATGCACAGTAACAGAACCATCACAGCTTAAAAGAATCATCACGAGTGGCTGGAGGCAGCTGATCAGCCACAGGTGCCAATCGCACGGAACATGCAAAGGGAACAGCACTCAGACTGAAGGATCCCCCCAAGGACCCCCCCCCCACACACACACAAAATGAGGCCTTCACAGGTGTCATGCTCGCTCATCCAATATCAAACACGACACCAGATACGCGCCATCGGGCCTATCTTCGGGGCACAAACCGAAATGTCACAATTCGGCTTATAAACTCTGCCTTGACAGCCGGCCCCACAGCACAATAAGATGGCCACAATGATAAATAATTCACAGACGGACACACAGCATCAACATGGCATCCGTGTCAAATGCGAAAATGCCTGTATACACCTACAGAATGCACCAAATACCATAAACCATACACCAAATACCCTAAGTGCACAAGACATATGAAAACGTCTAAGATAAGGATTTAACGTAAATAAATAGATAATACAAATCAAAGTTTTATCGCGCACTCTATGCAAACCCCTCTGAATCCTGCATTACGGCCTTCAAGGGTCAAACGACGGCCTGTCAGTGAGACGACCCCCCCAGGGTTCCGCTTAGAACGTTCTAGAAATTTCAAATGTCACAGTAACATGTAAATTCAGCAAATACATTTTTATACCTAACACACCAGGGAAGGAAGGCACCCTTTGAATCATTAAAAATGATTCCAACTCTGATTCTTTAGAGGATAACAAATTTAATAAGTAATAACCTTTTCAAAGTGATTATTAATCTGTGAACCATAATTAGCACTGGCCTAATATAATTTACCCTTCGGCAACACTTGTAAAAAAAAAAATTAAAAAAATGTTAGTGGCACGTTTTTGGACAGTACTGTAGTTCAACTGCACAGAACTCTTCTCACAAGTGGCATATAAACATAATCTTTCTGCAACTATTCAGACAAAACTTTAGTTAACTGCAGACCGTAGGGCTTCTCAAAATTATTTTTCCTGAATCACTTACGTGGCATCAGCCTCTTCTACGGACTTTCAAAGTCAACAGACCGAATGTAGATTGCAGGATGATTAATAAATATGTAGCGTTTGTGACTGGAGACTAGCTGCGGGTCGATCTGACAGAAATGTGGACTTACAGATGGAGACATGGAGCCGTTGGGGAGGTAGGCATCAGGCAGCATCAGAAATGGGTATCCAGAGTATGCAGGTGCCTTGTACAATCCTCCATCTTGGTGTTTTGACACTTAAAAAACAGAGAACATCGGCTGAATCAAAAAGCTGTCCTAAAACGATTTGGCCATAACACAACGGAAAAAAAAGCACAGACCTAACCAGTGCTACATCCAATACTTTGCTGCTCTAAACAAACACTTCCACCGCGACCACTTTACCACCACCCCCATCACCTTTACTTTTTTTCATTATTATTATTTGTTTACTTAGCACACCACATCGGCAGTTGTTGTCTTTGCTCTGTTATTTGTGGTCGCCAGCGGCGTGTTTTCCAACAGCGCCGAAATGCAACACAAAGTTATCACACACAAGTTTTAACTCCTGGATTTGCATTTTTTCTTTAATAAAGTAACGATGCCGGTTGTAAACGGTCACTTATCGTTCGCTACAAACAACTTTGGACATTTTTTAATCCGTGGGAAAGATTCTAAAGTTAAAAATGTCCCACACATTTAATAGATGCGCTTTCACAACTCACCTGGCCTCGGGCAAACCGCGATGTTTATTCCTCTCTTTTACAAACTTACCAGTGTTTTTTTTTATAAATAGGCTACATCTTTTTAATGATTTACGTACTAATATGTATTGTCAACGATATATTTTTTCCCCTTGTGCTATGATGTTAAACACGTAAGGCGATTTCTACACGGCGGCGGCCAGCCGTTTGCTCACCTTCGTCCAGGGCATCTCTGTGCTTGTCCGAATAGACTCTCTGATACCCTTGCTGTCCCCGTCTGACCGCCTGCAAATAACCGCAATAACGACAAAAACAATATATCACCAAACCACAGCAAAGTGACGGCGAAGTCACACTACAGCTTCTAAAACCTCGAATCAGCAAAGAGGAAAAAAGTTCTCACCCCTGGAGCAGTAACGTTTGGACTCTGATTTATCTCCGATTCATTCACCAGAGACGACTTAAGATCCGCTAAATCCCTTTCGGTGAAAGCGTTTTCTTGAATCTTCTCATCCTGCTCTCCTTCATGCTTGAACGGGATCATCTCATCGTTTGCCCCAAGATCATCCCCTCCGCCACCATTGAGTTGAGGCATGTTTGCTGAGGCACAAACAAAAAAGGGGGAGAAAAAAAAAAGCAAATTTTACTTAAAAATTAAAAGGAAAAAACACAGAAACAACAGAAGCTGTCCAACTTCTCGTGTGGATTTCCCCCTCCTCGGGTTGAAGCGCCCAAAACGGGGCGAATGAATGAAACAAAACAAAAGTTGTTATGGTACGAAGTGGCCCCGTACGCTGAAAGCAATGCAGCCCAAGCGGCGACAAATAGCGCATTTGAGCCGAGCACAAGGCTGGGGCTCCGACATCAAAGAGCTCCGCCCGGTGATTGACAGCCTCGATGATTGTTGGGGGGGGTCGCGCCGCACGACTGTCTCCGTACAGGTTTCCGCTCTTAAAGAGACACTGCTGCTTAGGGGGGCGCTCCACGTCCATCCAGGCGCCCCTTCGACATACTACGAAAAGTTTTAATCCCAACGAAAAGTTTTCTAAACGAAGTGAAACAGAAAACGTTCAACATCACTTCCTAAATATTTTCAACCACATTTCTATAGCTTCTTCATCTGCTTGAGATGTGAGGAAATTTCAGCTGGATATACTGTAAAACAGTAACTGTAAAATAGTTTTTTTTTTTAATCTAACATAAATGATATATGATTAAAGCATAAATACCGAAAGGAAAAACGGTTCGGAAGCCTTCAGGCTGACTAAATGTTTTGCCCTCATTCCCCAGTCACGTGTTTTCATTTTCTTTGGTCTTACGTGTGTAAAGTACAGAAATATTACACAATATAAAAATAATAATGACGTGTGTTTATGTGTAAATGTTTTCCATCTCCACACACACACGGAGATAGAGTGGAATCGTCCGGGTTTTGCAATAACCCAGTCCATCTAGATATATTTACCAAATTATTTATAACCGTTCCGTCTTACGACCGTTCACGTTATACAGGGCCCCGTATAAAGCTTATTATATGTGCTGAGATGACGGGGAGGAAAACAACCCGTTTAATTCTTAAGACTCAGCAATTTGGCGCCATGGTTAGGAATCTTAATATATAGCGGCCTAATCAGTGAGCGCGTGCCATTAGGTTGTCTTATATGCACTGACTTGTCGCCTCAAGACCTCGACGTGAATGAAAACCATGAACAAAATATGCCTGCTATTTGCATAAGGCTGCATATTTATACAATTCTACCCATGCATATTAATAAAAAGATTAAAATGAGCAGATTAATATATGCAAATCTAAATTATAAATGAGTTGTTTAAACTTCTTGTTTATTTGCGTTGATTAAACATAAACAGCTGTTTTTATAGGACTGATTTTCTCACTCCACTAGCTGCTCTCCTGCATCCCACGAAATGCCCGGGCGCTTGGGTGTGAGTAGCAGTCAATCTGCTTCTCGCTATTTCATGGCCGGCGTACCTGTGCTCTCCTAAGAGCGAGTCCTGGGCGCCTTAATTTGACCTGTGGCTCTGTGACTCCCCTCGCCTCGCCTGCTTTGACTCACATGACTCATTCGTTGAAGCAGCCTTATGTACTCCCGCTCTTATCTGTTTCCTTTTTACAGACATGACGTCAGACGTCAGTGAGCCTTTGGGACAGGAAGCATGAAAACAAGGAAAGAAGTATCGACAGCTGCCGATGGTGGTACGTCTCAGACAGAGATTTGAACATCATTAGCGCTATTTCTGTTAGACGTGTCTCCTTAGAGGAATCTAAATAATGCTGAATTTGACGAAACATATTTTCCCCCCATCAATCTCCACACACTAATTTGATCCACATTTTAAAAAAAAAAAAGCAAGGAAAATAGAATTACAGCCTACTTTGAGTTTAAATAACTCATTTAAGCATCATTATTATCTGGCATTTGCTATGACGTCTTATTGCCACGGGTACATTTTTTGGTTAAACTGTGCCAAGGACTTTTGCGATTTAAAACTTACATATACCTGTATGTACTTTACTGTATATATAATCCTAAGTACCAATGAAAAATGTACATATACACTTACCATGTCTACTTTATAATCCAAATGGCACTGATTAATTTACATGCATACAGACAGATTTTATAAAAGGTAACAAGGGGGTACAATTTTAAATCATTCACTTATTGATATTCCTGTAGTGGGACAAAGCCAGGTGATGACCCCCCGCCCCCATCCCCACCAACCTGTGAGTAATACCAGTGATATGAGCCACTATTTTTTCGTTTTTTTTGTGTGTACAGAGTGACAGAGCGTGTGAGTTCTGAGTGTGAAAATTTGCCGTCCTCATTCCTTGCACCCATCCCTGACATCCCCAATCCGTTTATCCGTTTTCCGATCTTCTTGTCACATGGATCTGTTAGCAGACTGCACCACTGCAAACCTTACGCTCACACCAACAGCATAAACCTGAAGGAAATTTAAAATCCTGCTCTGTAAACCAAGTGGTGAAAAATGATGACATTTCACCTGTATTGAATAAAACAATCAATTCTTTAAGTTTCTATAATGATAAAATGGTTCATACTTGGGAAATAACCTCATTGTGAAAGTGTTGTATTTATGTATATAAGCGCTGTCTTATGATAGAATATATAAGTGTTGTATTATAATATAATATATGTTTGTATATAGGTTTTGTCTTATAAGTGTTGTCTGTAGTCTTGTGATATTTCAGGAGTTTTAACTTAAGATTTTTAAATCTGAAGAAAAGATAGAATGCCACTGGTATTGTAGGTATGGGAAATATTGAAATATTTTTTTATTTTTATGACCGCTGAAAATCAGTTAGAAGAAGAGTTTCAACAAATATAGTGATTATAACATATGGTATAATTCCCAGTTGAAAAGTAATAAAAAGGAGTCGTATCCCATTTTAAAAATCACTTCGCCCACTTTTCTTATCCATTTTATTTATTGGAATAATTTATCCGACACATCATTCTCTTTTGTCGGATAAATTGCAGTGCTTAAAAATTACATACTCCACTTTCTAAATAAACTTTGGTGCTTTAAAGTAAAAAACTAATTAAATCATATGCTTTCATTGAGGTTAGCCCACATCTGAGGGAATAGCTCTTAATTCAAACCATTTGTGTATGTTTTATTGCCTGTTTTTCTGTAACAGAAAACTAGTTGTCTCAGGCTACATCAGGGCTAACCTTCAGAGAAATCTCCCCTAAAACATATATCCTCATGGAGAGATTTTGCCAAGTCATTATAAATTCCTATACGCCATTGCTTCTCTATTTATTTTTAAATGGATAATTTATTGCACTTGTCAGTGTCTTAAGGGAAGATTACTTCATGTTTGGATAACATGATCCTACATTAAAATCCACAAGTAGTTGTTTGGTGAACCTCACATAATGTATATTATCCCATACGATGTATCAAGACTTCAGCGACTTTGAGAGTAAAGTGTTTGACGTTGTGAGTGTGCAGCGCGAAAGCATAGACTTTACAGGGATGAAAGCACTGATGTAACCGTCTCCTGGCCTTTCAAACGCAGAGAGTGATACGCAGAAAATGCTTTATAACGGTTGCTTTTTTTTTTTTTTGTTCTCTGGAGCTTCCCAAATCTTTCACTTTCTCTTAAAAGGAGAAGGTGGTTTCTGTTGTTTCCAGGCAGCTAAAATAACTGTGTGTGTGTGGAGGGGGAGGGAAACGTACGGGCTATTCCATTAGCCCCCCGTGGCTCACGAACGCATAGCGTAAATATGCCGTGAACCGGCTGACACGTGCAAGCCTGGTGCCCCTTCAGAACCAGTAGAATAGGGGGCCATGGGCCTCAGGTGTGGGTGGGACCCTTAAGCCCGGACTGGGGGGCTTGACCACCTTCCCTACCGGAACCGGAACGCTGACAGCGAAGGCGAGACCCACTGTAATCTGCAGGGCAGGATACAAAAGGCCTCGTTAATGCACAGACAGCGAGTGTGGCCTTTGATGTAGAGCCAAGCCATTCGATCCTCGTTCCCTCCACACAAAAACATTCATAAAAAACATCATCTCTCCCTTTCTGCCTCTAGCCTCTGCGGTCGGGCACGCTGCTATTTTAAGATGCACTAGACTGAATCGGCGTTCCGCGTTTATAAGGTGCAGCGCGTAGCGCAGTGGAAACTGTAGTTTATCTGCAGTTGTTTTTTTTTTCTCTCTCTCTCTCTCTCTCTCTCTTCTCGTTCTTCTTTTCACCACACGCTGTTTACCCCATCGCTGCCTCGCAGAGCTCCTGCTCGCCGACTCCCTAAGCCTCTCCTCTCGGCTAGCGGCCGCCGTCTCTGCTGCCGCCGTGATGCCCCGCGCCACGCCGAGGCAGAAGCGAGAGCCGACCGCGCTTTGGTCAAAAAAAAAAAACACACACACACAAATAAAAAAAAAAAAAATCCGTCTGGGGAGGTGGCGGGTCAGGAGCCTCTTAGGTTTTGGATGGAAAGTTAAAGGTTTAAGTTCAATTCAAAGCCACTTTTAGCCGTAACTTTGTAAGGAAATGACCTCCAGTGAAAAGGTGCTTTAGTGAACGGTGTTACGGCTCAGTCCCATAACGGCTCCTCACTTCCAAGTCCCCACTCAGCGATTGTGCACTTTTACACCAAATATTTGGCTCTGTAGCCTCATAAAGGCACCGCTGTGTCATCTACATGTACGGGGGGGGGGGTTGCAATTCTTCTTTTTCTGATGTTTAGAGCTATGGAAAGATCTACTCTGGTCAAAGACTGGAGACTGGGCACAACCCATTCATTTTCATTGAATGCTTATTGTAAGAAATCAAATAAGATTAGATGAGATGGACTTTGTTGAACCCAGGGGGAAATTCTGACGTATACAACTGCAAAGCATGCAAAGTTCACACAAGCAAACAAGACAAGGTGCAAGAGCAGCGCACATAATGCAGACAAACCAACGCGAAATACAAAGTGCAACAACAGAACATCCTAAAAAACAATATGTAAAATTAAAATAAATTTATGGAAGGTAAATGCGCAATTTTATGTGCAGACAGATAGCTTGCTGGTGTATTTGTGCTGGAGGTGCGGGGGCGATACGTTGCGGGGGAAAAGATAAAAAAACTCAAATTCCTAAAATTAGTTTGAGAACCAGGCCCGATCATATCTAGTCCACATCAGCACAACGTAGACAGCCCGAGATCATTTCTGCTCAATGTGTCTGACAAATATCACTTGTTAAGGATGGAATTATCTTTACAGGCATCTGACGGAAATTAGTCACTAATAATTGGAGTGGGGCTACTCATATTTGGAAAAAAATACATCATTATTTACCAATTCAGCTGAATTCATCCATTCGTCTGTCTGCCGTCTATATCAGCTTATCCCATGTTGGGCTGCAATACGCAGGGGGTGATCTGGAAGGGCTGCCAGTGTATTGTAGCTGTCTTTCACTCAGAGCATAAAAATGGCTTTAATGCTGCATCTTGGCATCTTCCACGGGCGAGCTGCTGAAAAACGCTTCGCAGTGTGTGTTCCGGAAAATAACGGCGGCGAGACATTGTGTTGCATTTCTTTAGAGGACACTTTTAGACACAGAGACATACAGTTTTGAGAAAGTATCACCAGTTCCTGGGAGTCGACGCCCTTGCTCAGCAGTAAAACTGTTGAATCACTCCTATGAGTTTGGGATTCAAACAGACAACCTTCTGATCACAGGCACATCATCCTACTTAACTGAGTCACAGCTACCCCCTAGACTTCATTAAGAAATGATTGTACAAATTACAGACCATCGAGAAATTATATGCCGGATGGGATCTGAACCCCCAATCACTGGCTCAGCACCCCAATGCCTGATCCATTATGGCACTGGGCTACTTGCATCTCAGTACCCTTTGCCAGGTAGAAAATAATTATCCGATTCCTCCAAGCAGATGATTGAGCAATAGAGTCAAGAAAGCAAATGTCTGTGTACTGGAAAACAACAGCTCAAATTGCATGGCATTTCATAAAATATATTCTGTTTGGTCTGGGGGGAGGGGGGCACAGCGATCTGCTTTACTCAGTATCATTTCTTAGTGATACTTTCATGACAGAGTGTGTCTGAGGTTTGGAGTAGGACCACTTGAAGCTGTCTATGGCAGGTGACACTAATCAGCCATTTCCCCGATGTCTTTGCTGAGGAACAAACAGCGCCCCCGGTCTGAATGTCAATAACGATGCGGATAATTGACCAAGGCTCTGCATGCCCCCCACCGCACCTCCATATCTGTATTCATCATAGTGCACGAGCCTCTAAACCGCCAAACACTTTATAATTCAGCATCTGTATGTCTGGAATAAATATTCCGGAGTCGCTGTTTGCTCTCAGTCTTCTCTTTGATGTTTCATTAATATTCAGCGTTTACAAGCACAGAAGTATACATATTTAATGGAAATGCTTAGGCATGCTAAGGAAACATCTATAAATCTAAACTGTATTAGCGTTTTAATAAAATATTTCGGGCACATCCTCTCTGATTTTGTCTGGCCGACTTTCAGCTCGCGCCTCGCTCGCTTTCCGCTCGAGACGCGCTGCTGTCGCAGTCACGCGCGAGCTCGTGCTCGCATGAGTGCAGTGTCTCCCCTGGGA